TTTTCAATATATAAAAAATAATAATCATAATTTATTAAAAGTAAACCCTATTTATATCTACACACAGCACAGAGAAAAATAGATAGAGGACACAAAATAGAGAGAAAGAAAGAAGAGAATGATGTTAATGACGTTTTCATATTGCGCATAAAATGACAGAGAGAAAGGGATCAAGGGAAAAAACCATTCTCCCATATATGCATAAGAGTTGATGTATTTAGTACAAAAGAATGACGTAAGCAATTATAGTGGCTAGAAGAATATGAAGATACAAGAGGAACAAGAAAAAAACATACAAATGAGTTCATTTATCAAAAGATAAAGAACTGAACCAACTGAAGAGTGAAAGATTTCTAAGAGTGTTCTTTAACACTATTTGCGATTGACCAATTATGAATATCATGAGCAATGCCAAACATATGTACTTAGGGCAATCAAAAAGTAGTGGCGGAGGTACTTTATTTTCTTATAAAAAACTTTAAAACCATTTCCTTTTTTATGAACAGATAGAGCGACTTTCACTCTATTTTTCCATGCTATTTGATCATTATTCAACTGGTATTATAATAATAAAATTTCGATAAGATCTGTTTCATTCGCATATGTGCTGGTAGCAAGAATGCTCGTGAGAATTTTTTCAATAAAGTTTGATAGAAATAAGATAGAGAATTGCGATTTTCACCGTTGGAAAGAGGAGATGAAGATGCATCGAACCGTATATTACTGAGTTTTCCAACATCATTTTTGCAGTTTTTTTTTATTCAATTTTCTAACGGTTGAAAAATGTTTTTTTATAAAAAAGAAAAAGCAAACAAGCTGATAGAAAACCGTAGTAGACGTCGTTCTAGAATATTTATTACCTATAAATAATTTAATTTAAACATGTGAGTCTTTCATAGTTTGTATATCTTCAATTAGTGGTTCGAATGTGAACCCGATTATTGAAAATTCACTGTAGACAACTCACGGGATAGGTTTGTTCTTTGAAACGTCAATTGAAAACCTTACAAAAACCAAGTTAGAAAATTCAATAATATACAGTTCGATGCGTTTTCATCTCCTCTTTCTAACGATGAAAATGGCAGTTCTCTATCTTGTTTTTATCAAATTTTATTCAAAAAATACTAATGAGCATTCATGTCCATGCTACCAACAAACATGCGAACGAAGCAGATCTTATCGAAATTTTATTATTATAATATCAGTTGAATAATGATCAAATAGCATGGAACAATAGAGTGAAAGTAGCTCTATCTGTTCATAAAAAAAGAAATTGTTTTAAAGCTTTCTATAAGAAAATCAAGTACCTCCACCACTATTTTTGGATTGCCCTAAGTAGATCAAATGGAATGTGCGATTCATGAAGTTGAAAATATTGTTTTGGACAGTATTTTGATGGGAGAAAATCACCGTTTCACAATATCAAAAACATGATAAGAAGTGATGTTCATTATTTTAAAAATCAATTTGACTAAAACATTAGAAAATGCTCCAACAATAGTAAGCTGTAAAGCGAAAGACGCTCATCGATATTTTCAAATAAGTTTCAAGGGCATTCGAAATTTTTCAATATATTTCAGTGTTCATGTTGAAAGTTCGATTGATTGATGTCGAAAAGAAAAATATAAAACTGTTAAACAATTACAAACTGAAGAAGAATCGTTGAATGGACTTTTAATCGAATGTTCGACTTCAAAATACCGGATATTCAATCGACTACTGGTCTCATGATAAAGATCTAAAATTGAATAATTTAAAACTATAGATATAGTTCAAAATAAATCAAATTTCGATAGATCTATTGAAAATGTAAACAATAACTGTTGTCCTCAAAAGATGAAGGATTAAAAAATTTGTTTAAATTCCCAAACTCAAAAATAATTAATCGAACTTGATTTAAAGTTATCGATTTGATGAATGACATATGTAATAGAACTAAACATTTGATTATTCAATTTGGAGTAGTGCAGGTAAGGTGGTGTCAGTGTGTGAATGCGGATGCGGCTTTAGTTATCTATATGAGCACGAGGGTCCGATGTGTTTGTTAAGTTCAGCAAACATTGTATTCATTTGATGAAACTTGGATGAATAGTCTCAATGGATTATTACTTAAGTGTTTGTAAGTAGGTCAGTATACAAAATTGTTCTTTTGAATTTAGCAGAGGACTCGAGTGATGAAATAACTTAGTTTTGTACTTGCTCAATATATAAGGATTAGTTGTTTGACATAAACTTAAAGAGAGAGAGAGAAATGTGATGAATATAAAATTACAGGTGATATATAGTATCAGTCAACATTCAGCTTTCTGATTATATATGTCAATCGATCGTATTCGCCCTGTGCTATTGTCATGCAATGGTGAACAATATAATCTTAGAATTGTTCAAGTTACATATTGATGAATTCAATCATATGTGAAACATGCACTGGACGACAATCACATCTCAGCATTTTATTAAATTTATTGACTTTCATGAATCTTGTCTTTTCATAATTCAAACTCGAAAATTCCTCTTCGCTATCTTTGCTCTTAGTAGTTGCTGTATATTTGTCATCTATCAAGCATCTCATATTCCGAAAGCTGAGAACCACTACTAATCGAATAATGTCACAGAAGCAACAAGAAACTTTGTAGCCACCTGCAGCAATGCACCTGGATCCATCGAATGCACTAAATATCCAGAGGGTGTTGATGTGGGTAGATGGCTGTAGTCACAACCACACCAACATTCACATCAATATTTTTGATAACAGACTTAATGATATTTGGATGAAGATAATTCAAACTAAAAATACATATTTCTCTAGTATAGGAGAATAATCAACTGTAAAATATTGTGGTTGTAATCATTGCATTATGCTTACAAAAATATGAAAAACAGACAAAAAAAAACTAATTTACTCTCGACTACAATTATGTTATTCGATTGCTTCATAGCTTTTCTACCGCTTGAGCTCAAACTTGTTCTTGCCGCTGTACTTGTTCGTTCGAACAAACCATTTGCCTTCGAAACGACGTTGACTCATATTCCAAGTCACTTGAATCATAACATAATGTCCGAGATTCTGTGATGGATCACCAGTGCCATTTTGATATTTCTTTGACAGACCCATCCGATGGGTTGTTCTCGAGTAAATGCCCTCAATGTTGTAACCACCGACGTCATCAGATCCGTTGCCTGTCACGCTTGATGTTTCAGGATCGAATGAAAAACTGAGTTGATGAAGTCCATCCCATGCATTGTATTGATAATAGCGACTTGACCATAAACTCGACTCAAACTGATTGAATACTTGTTCATCGATTTCATTTGAAGGTAAAGCAACGTAAGACACATTTGATTGTAGCGGTCTATCTGACCGCCACTTCAAATAAAATATCACTCCGATTATGCAAGAGATACCGGCAATCGTAATCCAAGTTTCAGTGGCGTTTCGATTTTGGCAAGTATCATTCGTACATTTTGGTCTTCCACCATACCAACGAGCTACAATGGAGAAGTATGCATCAAACTCATGCAAAATCATGAATAAAAAGACTATTTAGTTGGATTAAAGAACGTACCAATAGAAGTTGCTAAAGAGATTTCAGATTCACAAATGAGAAAGTTTCTTGAATGAAGATATAGAGAAAAATTGTTTTTTTTTCGTAACATGTTCGATTTTACTGATTTTTAAGGGCAATATCTTCATAATAAATAATAAGATAACAGCGGCTTTGTATAACATTGTAAAATTTTATTTTCGAATAAAAAGACAATAATTCGACGTTTCGATGATCTATGTCATAATTTTCAAGATTTATTAAGAGCTTAAGGAAATTGTACAAAGAAAATAGAAGAAAAAGAAAGAAGAAAGGAACAGACAAGTAGAGAGGTGAAAAGGAGACGACAAACGACATTAATAAACAATTTAAAGTTTCATTAATGATCAAAATTTGGTAACTGAACTTTTGGTAGACCACTAGGAAAGACAAGTAATGGTACCGAGTGTGTTGTTTTATTAAGTTCAGGTTCATAAGCCTTGATCAGCAGTGATTCTTTAGTCGACAGACGATAATAATGATTGTCTTGCCATACTAATTGAAAATTACTCCAGTCCATTCGATGACCTGTTTCTTTTTCATGTTGAAAAATTGATGACTTGTCAATCTTCTTATCGCTGTTGGTATCATTTGTTGATGCCATTGTTGTTGTTGTTGCTGCTATTTTATTTTTAATTCGTGATGATCTTCTTAATTCTGGAGGATCATTAGGATCATCACTTTCATAGTTGCACGGTTGAATGAGGATCCGACCATTACTAATGAAGATCTGGGTGTGGATGTGGGTGTGGGTGTGGGTGCGGGTGTGGGTGTGCGTATGGGTGTGGGTGTGGGTGTGGGTGCGGGTGTGGGTGTGGGTGTGGGTGCGGGTGTGGGTGTGCGTATGGGTGTGGATATGGGTGTGGGTGCGGTTGGGTGTGTGGGTATGGATGTGGGTGTGGGTGTAGGTGTGGATACGAAGACGAAAGAAGATAACTACCGATACCTACACGCTCACCCACACACTCACACCCAAACACGCCCACACCCACCCCATCCACTCCCAGATCCACACCCAATTCAAGTGTAACCATCAAAAGCTCAGATGGAAGAGCTGAAGAGATTAGGTGTTATAGCACACTCGAAAACATCTTCTATTATCAAATTAGACTGTTAAAATATACTACTACTTTAATTTTTGCTTCATTCTATAGAAGTGAAACTATTTATTGCGTACTGCATTTTTATTTTAGTTCATTGTATATTTTCCGTTTTCTTTTATTCAAAAACTCTTATCTTCTTGTCCTACATCAGAGCAATATTGATAAGAAACTGTACTGCTATTCGCCTCAAAAGTATTGTACCAGTTTTTTGTTTTGAGTCGTGTATTAAAACTGCATAAGATTAATTTAATTCAATTATATGTTTGGATAGGAAAGATCCAGTACTATATATATACACCTGCTCAGATCGAAAAACTCTTAAATATGAAATACAATAAGAAAAACAAACTTTCAGTACTAAGAGAAAAATTACAAAAAAAATTATACAATGATATTGTTATTATAGGAGACTTCTATGGTCAGTCAACCACGAAAAACACAAAGTATGCAGAAAATTTTCCATTTTATCAGACTTTGTAGAGCTTTTTCGCTGATTATTTTGGTAAAAGAACATTTTGAATTTCATTAAAGAATGACGGTATTATAATAAAAATATTAAACACTGTGCAATACCCGGTTTTCCAAAAATGTTTCCAACATAGTTTGTTTTGCAAATGTCTCTGCAAAGACAATTGAAAAATCTTGGTTTTTATTTCAAAAGATGCGCCGTGGAAAGCTCTGCAAAATCTATAAGAACAACTCCTATTGACTTCTTTTGATGGTTTCTTCGTATACACAAAATGTAAAAAATATCCATAATAGTACTACTTCCCACCATATTTAACATAATAAAAATGTTTAGAAGGCTGTGGTACTTTGCATGTATCTCGGCTTAAGAAAATGATAACATCTTGATTCTTTTTCAAAAGATGCACCTTCGAAAGCTCTGCAAAAGTCATATAAAGAAATTCCTATTGCACAGCAAAAAGCCTTCCAAACATTTTTATTATCATTTTGTAGTTTTTTGTGTCATGTTTTTCTTAGTACTGAAGTTTTTTTTTCTTATTGTATTTCATATTTAAGAGTTTTTCGAACTGAGCAGGTGTATATATATAGTACTGGATCTTTCCTATCCAAACATATAATTGGAATAAATTAATCTTATGCAGTTTTAATACACGACTCAAAACAAAAAATTGGTACAATACTTTTGAGGCGACCAGTATAATAAATTGCTTATGGCTTAAAACTTCATACACATCTGATTTCAATATCATATAGTGATAATAGCTGTAGATTTTCTCCTTGACGTACAACAAATTACCGTTCTTAGCACTGAAACGAACTTGACAAGAAGGGTGAATTTGGAATCATGAACTGAAAATCTGTTGTTGCTCCAAAACGCTTACATAAATATCTGAAAATGAAAAATTCTCAGAAACTAACTTCAGATTCGGATTTCCTGACCCCGATTACCTTTGGCTAGAATTGAAGACTAGTAATTTATGTGATATCGATCTTGAAAAGGGTCAAAAAAGCATTTTTTTGTTGTTCTGTGCGAACGAACGTACAAACATACAAACGAACACAAATAACTACTTTTCGCTATGCCCTCCTTTCAGTAGAGGGAATGAAAAGTCTTGAAAATTGTCTTTCTCATCACATCTATATTCTTTTGTGCTTGAACTTTGGAACGGTCAAGACCATTAGTTGACATAAATATGAGAAAAATTTCAGCCCAATATGTTATCCTTTCTTCAAGAAAACTAACGTTCAGTAGCAAAACAGGAAATTTCACTTAATAACTTGCAAGATTCATAACTCCTGCTAGAAGCAACTTGGGCCCGTACCAACATAGGTTATATCACTCCTAGCTATGCCCTAGCTAACCATCATATCCTGGACTGAAAAGCTTTTTAACACCTCGGGCGGCTCCCTGTAACTGCATGCATATTCTGAATAATTAGTCTTCTAACAATCAATTCTTTACCACCTCCTCTGTTTATTGTGACATGATTTTACCGTCACTTCGAAATATTTAGTTCGATCGCAACAAAGCAGTGATTGTCATTTTAGATTTCAATAACTCAAATCAGTGAAACTTGACGATGTTCAAAGCTAGCCAGGGAAGCGTCTCATTAGTATTCGTCCTAGCCATGTCTCTTCATAAAATTCGGCCATGAAGACCCTTGATGGATACACAAACATTAACCAAGTTAAAAAAGTTGAGAAATTCGGAATTGTTTGAACTATCAGTTTCAAAATATATTCCGCAATAGTAATATCACATTGAAAATAACGGTTTCCGTGAGATTTCAGTGGGAACCATATTAAGTAAGGAAGAGCAAAAAGAAGAGAGATAATTGGTGGAATGATTATAACGAAATGGCTTTTGATCAGTTTGAAATATATTTTGATTTTTGACTTCTGAGTATTGCCATAATTGTATATACGTAAGGCAAAAATAAATAAAACGAGTAAAGTTGCTATAAGGTAAGTAAAACCTGCGATACCAGTAGCGGTATAAAGCAATCCAGACAACATGGTTGTGGCCGAATCATCTGAGTCATTCCCTTCACATCGGTACACCATCCACAGTACGCTAGTGACACTAGCGATACAAAATGTGAGTATTAACAAAACTAACGATCGCCATCGAGTAGCATTCATTCTAAAACTAAAACAAATTATGAGAGAACGTTCCAGTGCGGCCAGAGCACTTAAGCAAAGGCACAGAAATTCTGTTGTCTGATATCCGCTTTTTTCTAAGTAACAAAGAAATGTTTCAGACAAATGTGTGTTATTGACAAACGGATACGGTTTGTAGTAATACACGGATTGACCAATTACAAGTAGTATACTTCCAACGATAGATATAATCGAATAGATAATGAGATAGATGCCAACGTTAGTGCGACGTGTGCGCTTACTGCCATAGAATACTGTAAGACTAAGCAGATTGTTCACTAATGAAAGACACAACATAATTGAATATATGATTAGACGATGGTACTCATAATCAAATTGTACCTGCGCCTTATCCGGAAGGTAATCTTCACATCGTATGCCCTGATAGCATGGACCGCAAGCACAGTAACTTTCATTGGAAGTTTGATTTATAATAAAATGGCCATCGTTTAAGCACGGCAGAACATATAGATACATTAGTGTGGGCTGATAAAACTTTGTAATGAATCTTGTCAGTATCAGTCTGAAGCAAAATCCTGCAAAGGTTAGTTTCGAATTTGATACTGCCCCACTACAGGGTTGTGCATAACCTTCTGTAAAGGGGGTATCACTACAGTTTCAGATAGAATCATCAATGCAATTTATATTAAATTGTAGTGTTACCCTGTTATGCTTTATTTTATATAGAGAATAAAAGACGTTCGAGTTCGTTTGGTTAAAGCATAACTGACTGTTTTATTTCTCTTTCACTAATATATATAACAAAAGAATAACAAGGGAGAGAGAGAGAGACAATCACAAACACGAAAGAGCTATAACTACATAAATAGATGGCAGGATGTAACACCCTTACCCCCCAAGAAAAAGTTTTTTGGATACAAAAATACTTTTTTTTTTTATGAGAAAATATAACAACAAAAATAGTAACAACAACATGAAAAAGGAGAAAAAAAACCTGACTAGAGTATA